TCCTCTAAAAGGACAGAATCATCTACACAACAAAGGCTCGGCTGACTGATGCTAAAATAAGCAGTTATGCAACAAGTAAGAAATACAATCTCCAGGGAAGAAAGCAGCAACATTTTCCTTTCCTCTTCATGCACCGGTGCTTATTTTTGCATACCTACAAGAAAAATATAGGCAACATTTCGACGACGAGCACATAAGTAGAATTAACAGATGTTTTTAAGTGAGGGATGGAGTCTTTATGAGCTTTGTGCAAGTTCTGCAGAGTTAGATGCCGTCACTAAACGTGAGTCCCCCAAAGTGCCGCGGAGCTGCCGCTACCACGCTTTAGGGGAGCGCGGTGCCGTCACGACTCGGTGTGAATACGTTGATTTTAGCGGTGAATCGGCTCAGCGTAGAGCTACGATTACAAAACTTAAAACACCTTCAGGAGAACAAGCATGCAAAATAGTTTGTCTCCCAACACTTCGGTTGAATAAAACTTCTCAACCGGACTTGGGACCAGTGGAAAAATCTCGGTGCAGACAGATCTCACGGGAGAGGAGGAAGAAAACCCAAGTGGCCTTGTTGGCATCAAATTTGATTACTGTAGTACGTTAGCACCAGACACACGGATAGAATAGGTCCAAGGGAGTGCGAGTGTTCCCCAAATATAATGAAAATTCAATGTCATTTTGAAGACCCTTAGAAACAATCAATCTAGTAATGTTAGCTAGTGAGAAACCACGAGGAAAGCTCAGTCCCTCAGCCTGTTCCGGCAGTGATACCCACCCGGCCCTGAAGCCGGGTGCTGGAGGACCACCACAGGGCCAGGACATGCTCTGATGACAGAGAGCTCGTGGAGATCCTCAGAAGCACCACACAACTTGAACAGTGCAGGAGACACGTGGCTGCTAATTTACTGCCTTAGATACCCTCTTCTGAGGCTCTTTGGTAACCAGAAGTCATCAAAATAGCCTCGTGGCTACTTTAATTTCTACCAAGGACCAGAGCAGTACACAGCCATTCCAGGAGGGGAACACAAAGATGCTTTAACATCTTGCTACACCCGTATCCCAGATAGGGTTGTCCGATATCCTAGCTATAACCAGGATATTTAGTTTTTACTAAAAAACATGTTAATTTGGAAAGTAGTAAGAAGATGCAGTAGAAGGAAAAAGAACAAGCTCTGTTCTAAATTACAATAATCATCACTCCCATCTTCGAGAACAAACTACTACAGAAAGATCAAGGGAGAGGTGGCTGCTATCGTCATCATGTAAACTAATCCCTTTTCTTTCTCATTCATTCTGCATAATTCTTTTCCTCTCTGAAGCTAAGGAAAAAATACTATACTTACAGGAGAAGAAAATTTGATTTGGCAGATCAGTGGATAGTGAGATTTTGTTTGCAGTCTCAATTACCTTCAGCAGCTAGAAATTTGGTATCAAAATAAACTGTAAACAAAAAAAATAGATATAGCATTACAAATGTCCATCCCTTGATGGATAGCTCAAAAATTCTCTATGTTCTAGCAACAGCTGCTTTAATATCTTTCAAAGAAATGACAGCCTGCCTCTGTCTGAAGGGATTAACTTTCAGGAATGCATCCGTAAGTGGTTTTGTGCAAAGATGCTCACACGTTCTTGGGGGTTTTGCGCACCAAATTTTTTCTGCCAAATTTCAAGATTCCTTTTGTTACTGTTGTTAGTTTCTCTGTTTTCTGTAAGTTCATTTCTATTACAAAGCACATCTAATGCGACACACGTTTCATCCAGTCCCCAGACCGCAAGAACTGGGGCTTTCAAAGGGCCCTCAAGGGTAGGTTTGGGGAAATAAGGACCATCAGTGGTCAGATGAACAGGTTCGGTGCTGCTCCTGTGACAGGAGACCTGCTGTAGCTCCTCACGCTTTGGACGGATCCTTGGGCATCACAGCAGACTCCCCTGCACCACACTTCCCCACTTTCATTCCTGTGCTCCCTTTCTGTTGGCATTTCAAACTTCCATGTTCGATGTGGTGATGGGATAGCACGGCTCCTCAGACCGCTCAGAGTTTCAGCATGAAGATCTTTGACTGCTATGAGCAAAGTCTGTAGTTCTGGGTGATGGACGGTGAAAATAGTAGTAGATTTAGACGATTCAGCGTAGTTCAGTTGGAAGGGACCTACAAGGATCATCTAGTCCAACTGCCTAAGTACCTCTTCTCTCCCTTGTGAAGGGCTATCCCAAAGGCAGGACATGTCATTGCAAGCCCTTGTCCTGCCCATTCCCACCCCGCAACCCGGGGAAGGATCCACCTAGGTGTAAAAGCAGTCATGTTTTACCCCCCTGAGGTGGCCAGCAGAGCTTTCCTCCTCCTCCAGCTGCCCTGGCTTGGGAGGGAGGTTAACAGCCAGGTGCCAGCGGGTGTCTTCCTACCTGCAGATCCCACCACAGAACATGCAATTACCCTCCCAATTAAAAAAAAAAGAGAATTTAAGGATCCAAGTCACAATTCAATGCGCCATTTGAGTGAACGGTACATATGCTAAACAATACATGCATCAAGACCGCATTAATCCACATTTTATACGGATTCCCTCTAGACATTCAGTTTATAACCGAGTTGGCTATTTCCCTGTATTTCTTTGGAGTTGGAGGGTGTGAAAAAGACATTTCCACTTCATTGACTAAGTTCCCAAGGGGAGAGTTTATGAAAGTGCAAGTGCATAATTTACTGCCTGACAGGATAAAGATGGTATCTGATTTTAAAAAAAATAGTGTACCCTGAAAAACAAAATTGCTAGAACAGACATTTGTTTTCCGTAAGTACCGTATTTTAGAAGCATTTAATTTAGCTTAGAAGCACTGTTAAAAATACATGCATTGTAAATTGCAGCTGTATAACATGATATTTATCAGATAATGTCACTGAATAGTCTCCTGTTACAATATAAATGCCAAGGCATTTATAGAAAATAAACGTTGAAGTAGAGAGCTTTCTTTTCAAAGTGGAAAACCATTATCTCATCCAAAAGTCATAAATAAAATGAGGGTTTGCTTACGGGGTTGGTTTTTAACCATAGGGGGGCTGACACGGACACTCCATCGCCTGAGCAATATTCCCAAGCAGCAAACTCCGCCTGGATGCAAGGAGGAGCGAGGGAGGCACGTGGGACTGGTGACAACGGTTCAGAAAGAGCTAAAAGTAGCCAGAAGGACAAATCAGCTGCTAATGCATTTGAGGAAAAGAGATAAAGATGGGAAGTGAGGGATTTCTTGAGGTACTTCACACAATATTTACTTCAAGAAAATTCATCAGGTCTGATTATAGCCAGGACCCAATACAACATGCTCAAATACCAGCTTTTAAAAAGGGTTCCTGAAAGCTGGCTCTTAAAGCCACATTTAGTCACATAAGTGCATGATCTGATTTTCAGAGGACGGAGCACCTGGCAGTTCCTATTGATTTCTTTAGAATCTGGATCAAGTTGTGCATGTGGTTGAGTCACCATCCCTGGAAGTATTTAAAAGACGGGTAGATGAGGCGCTTAGGGACATGGTTTAGTGGGTATGGTGTTGTTGGGTTGACGGTTGGACTCGATGATCTTGGAGGTCTCTTCCAACCTTTAATGATTCTATGATTCTATGATTCTATGTGCAGCACTATTTATTAGCATAAGGTACAAAGGGCTATGAGAGAGGGACAGTAAATAAGATTTTGGATCCGAGATCTCCACCTTCTGCTCCTCTGAAATTTGAGGACGTTGATCTAAGTCTTTTCATCTCCTGTTAGAACGGGCCTAAAATGAGGCTCATGCTGCCATTCGCGCAGACCCACGGAGTGCTTTGCCAAGCAAGCTGCTTGCCATGTAGGCAGCCGGGTCCCATCCCGTGTGCTTTTTCCACCGCGGGTCCATTTGCTGGCATTGCCAAGACTGGAAAACACCGCTCCCGCACAACCGGGACCCACCACGGGAGCTGCCTCTCCCTTGCCGCTGAAGTGCGATTGCTGGAGGCGCGATGCTCAGCACAGCGTGCAGGGGAGGAGTGGAGGAGGACCCACTGCACCAAACGCCCGTGGAGTAATCCTGCTAACTTCATTTCAGTTATTCTGGTTTGACATAGCCAGATAATCCACATTTTATGGGAGTAATTTTCAAATCATTTTTAGGCTATGTAGTTAGGAGCGAAGTCTGCCTGTAAATTCAAAAAAGCTGCAGCCATAACGTTTATTTTGTTGCATCTATAAAGCCAGAATGGCCACCCTGCAGTCCATGGGCATGCAGTCATCCATGCCAGGGTGGGAAAAGAAGGGCATTTGAATTTTGGTCACAAATCAGACGCTTTTCTGGTCAACTGTGGAAGCCAGAGCGGGTTCACCACCCTCAAATGCCTCCAAGAGCGGCCCTAGCTGAAAGCTTGGGCACTGTTCTTCTAAAGGAAGGAATGAGATTCCTGCAGCCCTCTCCTGGCTTCATGAACTCCTCCTTTCCTGGTTCTGCTCCTCTTTTAGCCACTTCTTGGATAGCTTGTGGCATATTGTCTGCTTCTTCCTCCCTCTATTTTCTCCCTCTGCTACCCACCGCATTTTTCTTTGGACAATCCAGTCCACTGATCCTCTTCAACAATCATATTCATACCAAATTGCCAGTTACCTGCCTTTCCACACTCGTTCATCTCTCCATTGCAGAGCACGCTTCAGCCTGCCCCATAACATCCCACCCCGGGCAGCACAGTCAAAACTGAGACTGGATGTGCTGAGCTGAGCCAAATCCCTCGTCCTTCTCACCCAGCTTCCTCCATCCACTCTCCCGGTCAGAGGAGCAACGCACATCTGGCACGGCTCAACTGATATGTTGTCAAAAGCACCTTATATGATGAATGATATGATGAATGCCAGAAATGTGTCTAAAATAACTTTTACATACAAGAAGCGGCTGGCTGGATGAACGGACGGGACAGCTGATTCACTGGCTCATCAGCCGTGGAGGGAAAGTATAACACACCAGCAGGACAACTTTCTGGGCCACATTCAGAAGAAAACACTTCAGTACTGGCAGCTCCTTGCAGAGGGGATCCCACACTGAGCATTGCTCTCCCGCAAGCACAGAGGACCTCGAGGTTGTACACCATATTTGTAAAAACACAGCAACGAGAGAGGCTCCATCATCTTGTAGGATAGGATTACAGCCCCTCCGCAGAGGACATACCACCTATTTATTTGAACTTACGTTAACCCTTTTAAAATAGGCCACTCTTGATTAGTACTGCCAGGTTGCTGAGCAGCCCCACATTCATCTGAGCCGTTTTCTGGTGAGCTCCACGGATGATAGACAGCCATCGAAGCAACAACTCCTGCATGCCAGGACTTTAACACATTGTATATGCAACACATACCCCTTTTTATAGTGGTTATAGTCTTCAAATCAATCATACCTGGCAGTGGAAGTTTAACATTAATGACTTTCTTATTATGGATGGAAAAACCTCTCAGAGCTAATGAGCAGAAACAAGACCGCTTGGCTCCTACCTGAGGAGGTGACTCCACGGTCATGACCAACACTTGGAGCAGAGCTGTAGCGATGCTTGCTGTAGCACAGCAAATCCCGAAGAGTCGGTCTGGCAGGCTACGCTGCCTCTGCCTTTGGAGCTGAGACCTGCGTTCAGAAAGGGCTTTAGGGATCTCAACTCATGCCCGCCTAACAGCGGGGAGGAGGCAGCGCATTACCCACCACGCAGCCATCGACCCAGATGCATCACCCTTCCCTGCGATACGAGCTGGGACTGCGGTCCCAGGGGAAGCCTCGCTCTCCCCAGCCACGGCACAGGGACAGCTGCCGAGCTGTGAAAGGGGGAGTTCAGTTTAATTTTATCTTGACAGCCAAGAGAAGACAGGACCCAGCGAGTTACACATTTCATTCCCAAGCTGGTCGCGCAGGGCAGAAGGAGCGGGTGAGCCAGGGAGGGTGCGCACGGCATCGCACGGTGCCCCGGGGGGTGGTGGCATCTGCCCTGGCATACCTCGGGGAGCGGCACGTTGCAAGCCTGGCTGCTGGAGGAAAAATAAACAAATACAGCAAGTCACAAAGGCAAACGGCATATGACAGGGACAGGTACTTATGCAAATAGACTGTTAACACACAGCCAGACAGAGCTGATAAGCCTCCTAGGCCAGCTGGAGGTTTCTTCATCCTGCTGGGGGGAGGAGGAGGACAGCTTTAGGGTAACAATAGAAAAAACGAAAAGCAAGAGCAAGGCAGCTCTGGGAAGGTTGCACAGGGCTGCCCAGCTTTGGTACCAATCTGCTGCACCCTGCCATGCCAGCGTGTCGCTGTGCTGCTCGGCACCAGCCAGGGCAGCCACGCTCTGCTTCCAGAAGCATCCTCCCGTGCCGATGCGGGTTAGCGTGTGCCATGGCGCCCATCACCAATACCTCCTTGGGGTGGTGGGCACCTGCCAGCGCGCATCTCCCTGCACGCCTGGGGCAGCAAAGTAATCAGTCACGCAGCAAAGTTTCTCAGATTTGTGAGGCTGCAGTACGGGGGGTGCAGGGGGAGCTGCCTTCCCCCAGTCTTGTACCATCCCCATAACTCTTCCCCCGCTCTCTGCTGACCAACCCCCTCCAGGAGCATAAATGAGGCAAATTATGCTTCTGCAATGCTGCTGGAGATCCCCCAGGAAGCTTCATATCTGGCCTGGCTGTGCTGCTGGTAATCAGATAGAGGGGGTTTAAAATAATCAAGTCTGAGCAGCTGAAATCCAAACTGGAATAGGTAATGGGGTCAGAAAACAAACACTGCAGCCAGAGGGTCCGTGGGGCCCGATGGACGGGGCACCACACACACACACTCGGGGCAGGGTGAGCCAGGAGCTGTGGTGCTTCTTCAGGATGCTGCCCAAAAACCAGAGTCCTCACATGTGCTTTTCTGGCACTGGGAAACCTGCGTGAAAGACCCCACACGTGTATCACGTGGATCCCCAGAGAGCCGAGTGGCTCCTTTCCCCCCCCGCACTGCATCCATCACCATAAGCCTGAGTCGTAGAAGAAAGGATTTTGCTGCCCCCAGAGCTCCATTAGTCTCCGGGGCTCCAGTCCCAGCACTGCCAGCAGTTACTTCACTCACTTCACCTGCCTTACCCATGGGCAGGGAAGAGGGAACAGAAGCACCAAGGAAAGGGGGGATTGCTAAGTTCAGGGAATATTTGTTTCACCCGCCGCTCAGATTTCCAGCTCATATTAATGACATAATACTCCAGTGGTGAGAAGCCAAAGTTTGCCCTTCCTGTGGTGTTCCCTTAGGAAAAAAATATTACTGCAATGTAAAACTGAAAATTGAAACAGCCTGGTGATTCACCAGAGAAAATGCCTCTCCCTTTTCCCTATTCAGTGAGGTGGAGATGAACCTTGCGAGGTTTGAAAGAAAAACTGAAAAAGCCTTTAATTAATCCCTGGAGGCTAAACTATGCCAGATATAGACAGGATTTCTCCTCTGCCTCCTTTTTGGAGCAAGAACATGCTGCTGTCTTCCTGCTGCAGCTCTTTCCGGGGAATTCTCCGGTCCCCAGAGGAGGATCCAAAGCATTTTCCAAAGCTTTTTTTGGGGGAGAGGGTGGCTGCCAGGGAAGCCTCGCTGCTGTCCCAGGGCAGCGAGCAGACCGGGAGCCCCCTCCAGCATTTCCCAGATCAGCGCAGACTTTTGGAAGCTCCTACCTGCTGGGAGGAAACTTTCCAAGTTCAAGGTCAGGTTTGTTTGTCTTCCATCCTGACAAACTGTTATGCAATATTCAGGAAGTCACTTTTATCAGACTCGATTCAATTTATAAGATTAAGAGCATGGAAAAACAAATACTAGTGCTGGGTGGAAAGTGCTGGCACTAACCAGGCCAATGGTTTGTTTGGACAAGGATTGTTAATAGGGTATCTCTTATTTCCACAAGTCAGTAGGGGCAGGATACACAATGTGCTGCTTTTTATAAGGGGCTGGCGATGATGAGAAAAATTAACCCTTGCTTAGAGAGAGAGCAGAAACCGTAGCAAAGTTGGTTTGTTCGGGGTTTTTTGGGTTTTTTTTTTTTTTTGAGAGCAACTTCTGTGGTTGCTACTGCAGCTCCTGCAGAAAGAGCTCCGGCTCGGGAGCATCCCCTGATGTAAAGCCAGGGCTCGACCCCCAGCAGAAGGCAGAGGACTGCAGCTGCATTGCTAGCAGTGCCTGTGCTGGCCAGATTTGCTCGGATACAGCTACCTTAGTGCCAGCAGGAGCGTGGCGGCAATACAGGTAAAGGCTTCGCTCACTAAAAACCCGACTTGCAAAGTAATGGGTAAAATATAGAGCATGTGCAATTTTCACAGGGATCGACAACAGTTGGCACAGCCAGATGAAAATGCACTGGAGAAGAAATCTTAACTTGCAGAGGGAAAACAGTACCAAGTAAGGCCCAGGCTGGCCCCATGTCTGATCTGCAAGTCCTGAAGTCTTTAAAGAAGAAAAGCACCGGGAACTGCAACGGAGGAGCATCGATCATTCATCCCACGGAGCGGAGGCCCGTGCCAGAGATCACGTCAGCCACAGTCCAAGCATACCTGCCTTCTTGACACTTTTTCCAACCAAGGCCCTTACAAAGTTTCAATAATTGCCGCTATTGAGACTAGTTCAGACCAGTGCTTTCTGTGGATACAGGAAAAAAAATTGGAAATTTAGTTTCCACCCCTTAATTCAGTACCACATATATGTATATAGATACTACACACAGAGAAATTAAAATGTAGTAATAAGGAGCTATGGACTTTGATAATAGCTAAGGGAGAACCTGAGTTTTGAAAGAAAACTATTAACAATAGCAGATTTGTAAGTTCAGCTATGGGAAGGACCACAAAATCTGAGCACATGCTATACATCTTCCTTTTATTGACTGCTTTGCGGGGAGCTGCATTTCTTGTTGAAGTTGGGAGCTGCAGACTATAATCAGAATCAACACAGAGTGCAGAGTGGTGGTAATTAAACCTCTGGAGCATTAAGTCACCATTTTAACCAAATGCCTGCATTTTCTCTTGATGGGAAATTGAGAGCGAGATTCAGATTTTCACAGTAAATAAAAACTGTTGGCTGTTTCACAGATAATCAGTTTCCTCATCTTATGTATGAGCAAATCCTCCTGTGCGGTTTCTTCTTCCCTTTTGTGAACGCGCACACTCCTTGAGGAAGCTCAGCAGCAGCACTGCCGGCTTCTGCACGCTGTTCAGCCTGTAAAATAATATTATAATCATAATGTGGCTCCTTAATAACACTTTTAATCCAGGGACCAGTATCCTTATCTCCACGTAAGAAAACAGAAGCACCCAAAATTTTGCTCCAGTGATAGAAGTGGCCAAGGCCAAAGTCAGGAATAACCCAGCACCCAGGTTCACGGTCTGCCCATCAGCTGTATCCACTGCCTGGCTCTCAAGTAATGATCTCCCCTACAAACAGATATTCAAGGTGCAAATCTAGTTTATTCTTAGGCTCAGTTCTGCGATGACAAGCACAGGTCTGTGTCACTGCACACCTGTAGCTTAGGAATTGGGCAAATACAGCCATTTCGGGTCACGTAGATACAGGCTAGCCATCTAATGGTGGTTATTTTCACTGCACACCAACCTGAGCCCTCTTGAACAAGCAACCCAAACAGGTGAATCCCTTAAATCCACTCTTTTATTGCAATTAACAGCAATATATTGCTGGAGCAAGATTCAGATACTCAGCAGCACTAGCAAAAGGCTGCAAGGCTGCAGTGTGCACTGGCTCTGTTTCTTGCAGGCAGTGGCGTTAAATACTTTGGGAGATCAGTTATTCTGATAATAAAACAGTTGCTTGTGCAGACGATTGGGCTCAGTCGCTTTCAAAGCACAGCCGTTGCCACAAAGGCTTTCATCCTCTGCTTTCGGAGTAAAGTGCATCCTCCCTGCCCAGAGCAGCAACAGGTTTACCACAAAATACTTGCAGCATTTGATGTCTGCAGAGGCAGGTATTACTCAGTTGCTTCTTATGCAAATGCGCTATCATCGCTGGGATAGCAGGGCGAGGAGCCTGAATCGAGGGCTGCAGGAGATGCCCGTCCTCGTGTGTCACCCGAGTCCAAAGTACAGACCAGCCGCAGGGCTCGTTTGGGGCCGTATTTCTCAGCAGATCGTCTTCCTGCAGATCTGAGGCTTGACTTGCCACCTTACGGCACGTACCAGAATCTGAGGCTGCATCACTTCACCTTCATCATCGTCACCGCTCCACCTCCAGCCATCTGTTCAGTGGAAACAACGGCTGTCACAGCACACGGGCGTACGTACACGGAGACTTCTGCAAAGCCTTGGGAGAGCTCCTGGCTGCACAGCTGCCTGGGAGAGAGCTGCCAGGAGAAGATGCCTCAAGCGCGCAGACCCGCTCCCTCCCCAGCAGGCATCAGCTTGGCCACGTGAGCCCAGACGTGATCCGGAGTGTCACCTCCCGGAGATCCTCCCCAGCTGAGTGACCCCGGCAGCACCGCTCCTCGCTATCCCACCCCGTCCGCAGTTTGGGAACTCCTCATGGAAACCCAAGCAAACTCAGAGCCAAAGCTGCAATGAAGGTTTCTCCACAGATAGAAATGCAGTTGTCACTGGTGTGGTTGAGAGTTAAAAATAGAGTAAGGCAGCTTCCGATTTGAAGAGAATCACAAAGAAGTGATTTATTTTGGAGAAATCAGTGTTCGCTCTTGAAGTTATTCAACATCTAATAAAGGAAATGAAAACTAAAGGCAGTATTGCTACTGATGTCTCTGGATCCAGGATTTCATACCTTCTTTCCATCGTACCTTACTGGGATATGATGCTTTCCAAGCCTGACTGGTTGTATATACAGATATAATTCCCCACCCGTGTTCAACTATTCTGCATCCTGCCTTTGTACTCCAACATGAACAAACCAAAAAATATAAAAAGAATTTTTTTCCAACCAAGCAAATGAAGGAAGGAAAACAAATCTACTTAACATTTCTAGATGTAAATATTTGGGGTAGGAGAAATAAATAGCTGATTATCTTCTGCATTTGACAGGGCAAATATAAAAATATCTTCTTTGAAAAAACTCATCTAGGCATTATTCTGCATTCTGACATTAAGGAAAACGCTACTTGATTGCGTCTTTTCTCAGGAATGGGTAAATTGGTCTGGTGGTTTGGAAAAATATAAGTAAGCATATATTTTTAATTATTTTTCTTTTTCCCACAGACCACTGCCATTTTTTATTTGAGTGATAGCCAGAGCTAGAACGGATAAACCACCACAAGACAATTTTCTCAAAGTATTTTTCTGCTATGAACTTCTGGAAATAGCAAAAGAAGCCTTGTTTGCATGAAGCTGGTGTCAGATGATGAAGAATCAGGCTGACTGAATAGCCAGGATACCACCCGCAGTCACCCACATTTTGTGACACTGGGTAGGTTACCAGAATCAGCAATGATATAAAAATAAAGATCCATTAATCAAAGAATAAACTGGAAAAATACTCAAATAACTCAAAAAGACCACAACAGCTCTACAAAACAGCTCAGATCCCCTCCCGGTAAGCCAGGTGGAGGCAGTTCGCTGCCATCCTCCCTCTTCTCACCCAGGTGATATCCCATCCTCCCACTCACTGAGGCCCACAGTCTCATCCACCACATGCACAGACAGGATTTCTTTGGAATCACATCTCAAGCTTGCTCTTTTTAACATCTCTAAGGCCTTTTCCTTAAAAAAACCCCCAAAACATTCTCCTCCAAGCCTCCCTCCTCTCTTCCATCAGTTATTGCAATCTTCAGTTTTAACAGCTGCCTTCAAGACCACATCAATTCACACCACAATCATACTGGTCCTTCGTTTACATAATTTACAAGCTTCTTGCCTTCTCCTCTTTATTCCTATTACCTTTCCACATCTCCTCTTACCTTGCTGAACCAATAACCTACCTACCATACGGCCAGCCCATAACCTTTGCCCCACCAGCCTCTATAATCCATCTGTCAGCTCCTTCCCTAAGCACAGACTCGCTTTCTCCCCAGCTTTCTTTTAAGCCTGGGAAAACCTTCCCGATAAAATCTGAACAGCCACTCCTTTCTCCTCCTTCAAAACTATCCTTACAACTCACTTCTGCCAAAAACCCTACCAAACACAACCTTGGCTATGGCTGGGCAACTGATGAACTAAGTTTTTCTTTCCTCCTTTCCTCGCTCCCTACTTCTGCTCTCAGCTAAGCATTAGCCAAACCAAATTACACTACCAAAGAAGGGTCCTTGCCTTATATATGGTTTTTGTATACTGTATCCCCATGGTTATTAGTGCCTGCAGAACATAAGACCCTCAGGGCAGGGATTGCCTTCTCCCTGCTTTTGCAAAGCACCTAGCGCAACCGTGGCTCAATTCCCCGTGCATACTCCCCAAAATATGAACACATGCTGGTAACTGCACGTTCCCTGGAGGAGAGAGATGGCAGAGCTGGGAACCACCAGTGGACCGCAGTTGTCACTGGCACAGAACAGGAGGGCAAAGAGAGATCAGAATAACTGGACAAGAGTGAAATAAGAGAGCACAGAGCACTGAAACTGGCGGTATCGCATGTGGGAGCAAGTGGCCACCAGCACTTCCAGAAGCTCCTGCATTTCCATGCTACAGCCCATCACAAAGCTTTCAGACAGTTAGAAGCGTCCCAGTTTGCACTTAAAGCAAACTTTGTTTTCAGCAAAAACCCAGTGCTTTCAGCCTTCACTTCTAATCCAAACCCATATTACGATAGCTAAAATGTCAGAGCTAATTAAGAAGAGGAAGCTGCGCATAAACCAGCCAAGATGTGCATCTGCCACTGAAGAGAAAGCGCCTATTTTCTACAACCCTCTCCAGGAGCCGGCGCACACAGCGAGTCTTCCCCTAGAAGCAGATAGCTAGCTGGCAGTTTGGTCAACCCTGAATTATATGCTGGAGTGCTAACTTCCCTTGTGGTTGCAAAAAAGAAGGGCTTTAAAAACATTATTTTAAATGATGCCCGGGGTATATTTAAAGAATAGCTAGCCAAATTCCACCCTGCCTGCCAGGGTGCCATCGGGCTCCAGGGGGGTTGCGCAGCAGATAAGAGAGCACAGCATTTGGCCAATTAGCTTTAACCATCATTATACAATATTGATGTCATATTGAACACACATATATATTCTGGCACAGAGACTGAACTTACATTGATTTATTAAGTTGATAGCACGCACCGGTGCCAAGCTTCCAGGTAATTGATCAGCTGCCTGGGCTGAACTTCAACATGTAATTTCCAGCGCAATTTGACTGATCAGCAATACCATAATTGGTTGCAAATGTCCTTCCTTCTATTTGTTTTGTTAAGTGGCTTTTTCATTAACACAGCAAAGCCAAGTAAATAAATATGACTTTACTATTGGACTGAAGGCAGAGAACAGTTGAGAACTGGATACAGACTGGGACAGGACTGTGCGATATTGTCAAGCCAGCATTCTTTTTGTATACATTCTCCATTTCACTGCATTTAGGGCCCTGGTTGCTTCAGCAGAGATCTTTTAGCAAAAGGGACGTGGCCAACACTATGCTCAGTAAACCGCATATTTATTGCATTTATGCCCCCAAATGCCCTAAGTCAATAGGTTTATTATTAGGCAAAGCCTTAATGTCTCTGCTTAGAATATGGTCCTCAGGTGCCCCTGCTAAGAGAGGAAACCAAGTCAAATCTCCAGGAACAGGCTCTTTGCTCTGGAGGGCAGCACGCAGGCACATCTGAACGAGCTGGCAAACCCAAAACTGGGCAGAGAGGCTTTAAGGGAGGTGGCACCTCCCTCCTCCAACCCGCTCTAACACCAAAACCTAAGCTGACCCAGGTGGCAGGTCCCATCTCCAGAGCCTCAGATCTGCTGCTGCAGCCTGCTCACAGCCCTGCCCTTTTACAGGACCACGTGGACTGAGCCTTGCTATTTCAAAGACCAAGACGTGTCAGATACAGTCTGAGGCTAAGTAAGTTGCAAAGTTCCTCAAAATATTGACTCAAGCATTTTATCTGTGAGCAAGCGCAATTATTTGAACAGAAGGGTTCAGCTGCTGTGGCACCAGCTATATCCCATGAAATAGCTCCTGTACGTCACCGGATTATCACATGCCATTTCTGATTTCCAATAGATATAGAAAACATTGTCTTCTGGGTGTATCATTCCTCAGTACATGCTTTCTAATGCTCTTTCCATCTCTTATTTTACCCTGTTCTATCGATGTCAGCCCATTTCTGGCTGTATTCTAAACATGTGTAACCGTGTTAGACCAGAGGACGAATAGGGTTATCTGGTGCCTTCACAGCAGTGAAACAGTATTACAGACCTTTCACACTGGGTCACCACAACACATTGTAGGAGCAAAGGCAATAACAAAATAATGTCAAGAACAATAAAGGCATTGAGTCAGGAGAGAAGAACTAATGTGTTATTTTCAACTATTTTCAGCAGTTTAGGACTTTATACCTTTGATACTTTTCACCCACTGGACTCCACCAAATAGAGGCATTGTTTTTCTCCTGTTAGCTCCCTGAAAATATCTGACAGTGGCTTACTCCAGTGTGAATAAAATTAAAGACTAAGCTACTTAACTGATGTGTGTTCTTTGAACTATCCTATTTAAATCTCCAGGATACCAGCATGTTGCAAACAGGCACACTTCATTAGCTGATTCTTAAACCTGTCCACAAGAGAAATTGGGATGGAAGTGTTCAATACTTTTTTTTTTAAAGCTTTTTCTGTTGCAGGCTTCGAAGGGCTCCAGACTGCAGCTACAGACCTGCAGGGCTGCCTGGAGCACAAGCCCCACAGCAGCAGCACTGGGAATAATGCAGTTTGGCTGAAGAGGTGGGTGGACAAGGCATCACTCCCTACCCATTCAGGGCATACGTGGCACAGGGCTGAGGTTTGCGATTTTTGTCTATGCTTTATGAAGAGCTCAGCATAGTCATTACTCAGCAAATAACCAAAAGAAACAGGTTTGTAATTGGTTTGTTCAGACGGTTGTAAATTATTAGTATTTACTATGCTCTGGTGCATGTACAACCCAAGGAAAAAACCACCCTTCTTGTAAGGGCCTGCCCTGCAACTTTTGCTCAGAGCATTTGCTCCTATGAGTGGGGTCACAGAAACCATCACGATTATTAATGTGATTAAGCAGCAGGCACCCTCCCCCTGTATTTAATTTTGAAAGTGCTCTTCAGTGCTCCAATGCCTGGATCATGCCAAGCCCCCACCTCCCTCCCATCCCAACACGGCTGCACAGCGGGCTCCTTCCCACATCGCTGACTACTTCTGTCCCTTCAGACTCCTTCTGAAGCCTGAATCCCAGCTTCGCAGGAGCACAGCCTCCCCAAAATCTAGGGCAGTGCTCCCGGCAAAGCACATGGCAAACCAGAAGATTGCTTTGCAGGCAAAGCACAATAAATCTGCCCCAACTGATTGGAGGGGATGCGTTAATTGAGCCTTGAGTTTTTTCACCCCTGGCTTTTCATGGGGAAGGAGGTTGGTTTGCAACAGTTCCAGAAGTTAGACATGAGAGGGAAACGCGCACCAGCTTTCAATGATCTGTCAAGGGCAGCGGCTGCTTCTTGGCAGGAGCCTCTGCTGAA